CATTACGAACTCGTCAAGAGAGATTTTATTAAATTCCCATAATGTGGCCACACTGCACATTATCCAAACTAGTACAGCCATCTCTGGGCTTTCTCATAGGCTGACAGTCCAATGAGTTCTTTATGACTTTGCAGAAAATTTAAATATGTGGGGGCACCGTAAAACGTTAGTGTTCCTTCCACACATATGCCCTTTGAGCTTGTGGCATTCTGGAACACCTACAAAAGCATCACTAGAACAGTAATCTTTGTGCCATCTAGGCATGTGGGGTTTATTTCTTTGTTCACTGAGGTAAAGGATGTGGGCTCCTGAGTCAGACTGCCTGGGTTCATCTCTGCCATTTAACAGCTCTGGAATCTGGACAATATCCTTGAACTTTCTGTGCCTAAGTTTTCCCATCTATGAAATGTAGATAATATTACTACCACATAACAAGCTTGAAAAAACCAAACACATGGGAAATGTATAGAAGAGTGCCTGGTGATTGTAAATCCAGTCGTGGGGAAGGTGGTGTGCAATGCTACCTGCCACTGGAGATGAGGATGCATGGCTAATGGGAGTTTGCCCATTATTGTTCCCAAATCTCCTGGGAGAGCCCTGCTTCTTTACTTTGGTTCATTCTAGTTGGATGGCTCCTGCTTGTTAGACTCCATAACGTGCAGGATCCTCTGCTGCCTGGGTCCTGCCTCTCTCTCCTCTCCTTATCTCTTCTCATCTCATATCTAGCCTTCCGGTTTTACCAGCTTGCAGCTCCCCAAACATGTTTCATGGCCCTCTGCCTCCTCTCTGGGTCCTGTCCCTACACATACTGCATGGCATGCTGTATCTGACCAAAATCTGCTCATCTTGGAAGACAGCCCAAGCATATGCCACCTCTACAGAGCATTCCCTGGCCACCCCTATATCACCCTTCCTAGAACCACACACTCTCTTCTTTGCCCCCCACCTCCCTTATATCCCATACTGTGCAGGCTTCTATCCAAATCACTTGGAGAGATAGAGGTAAGGAAGAGATTACTTTATTTATCTATTTATTTACAGAGATCTTCTATAGAACTCTTGAGTTCCTTGAGGTCAGGGATGTATATACTTGGGATATATTTGCAATAACAATGATCAATACATATTAGAAAAAACATAATTTGTTGACCAAATGAATATTTGAGCTCCAAGAGAGGTTACATTCACTTCTTAAATCCTAAGATCACACCATGCATTTGTAATGGTACCGTCCTTGAAACCTTTTCTATTAGCTTTGCAATTCTCAGAGATTCTCTAGGAAGAAACTTGCTCATTACCATTTCTCATAAGGACATGTACTTATTTTTATCAATTTTTAGTTAGCCAAACTCTCTTGTCTTTAAGCACAATTAGAGGGTGACAAAAACAAGTGATAGAAGCTGACAGGCCACTTGGGAGCAAGGCAGTGCCCTGAGGCCTGCAAGCCCGTGTACCACTGGACTGCTCAGGAGGCCTTCCTTCCCTGTAGGCCTCTCTGGTCTCTTTCTGTAGTCTCAAAACCCAGGAAAAGGAGACCCTTGTGAAGAGCAAGGGTGCTGTAGGTCCTGATAAGAGATGAGCAGCTGTCTTCGCTGGGATTTAAAGCCTAGACTGATTTCAATAACAAAAATGTCTGCCTTTTATACATAATGCAGGGCTTTTCCTTGACAGCAAAATGACATGAAGTACACGTGGTTTTGTATTTTTGTATTTTCCTAACACTGTTAATTCCCATTCAGAGCTCAGAACTGTTTATAGGGAGCACCTCACCACCCAGTTGTCATGGATGATGTTTCCTTGCTAGTTTACTTGCCCTGTGCCTGCAGCCCTGGATACCTGGGATCCTGACAGGCCCCCACCACCCTCACCCTACCCCCCTAGAAGTGGAGCTGGGGCTCCTCCTGCTGCTGCTACCTGTCCTCTGGGCCTTGTTCTTCACCTGCATCACATTCATTCATGGTCTTGATTTTCAAAATCCATTTCCTGCTGTGGAGTTAGTTCCATAAACATTTGATATGTTGTTTTAAAAGGATTCAAAACTTTCACATGTTATACACTATCTTTTATACTTCAGAGACCATCTGCAGAACAACTTGGGCTATAACATATTAACTGGTTTTCTGAGAAGACTTTTAAAAAAGATTCTCCTAAAGTGGCTAAGTATGTTTGAACTACTCATAAACATGTCTTGGTGAAAAAGGCAGCAGTTCTGGTTGGTGCTGGTAATGTGACCTCACACTCCACCCTCACTGGATGGCACACCATGGTCCAAGTGGCTCCCTGGTCCCGCCCACAGGCCACAGCCAGGTAGAGCCAGCAGGACTCTGCGCAGCCTCTGTGCCCAGTAGTTATATGCAGTGGAAGGTGGCCCGCCGTGTTGTGGGATGTCATATGGGGTATCTTGAAATCAGGGGTCCTTCATGGCTGGCCTGAATCTGTCTAGCAGCCTCCCCCGTGTTGCTCAAGTGTCCCTGATCGACACCTCAATTCCTGCCATTACTCACCATGGGGCCTGCCGCTCAGAACAGCCAGTGCAGGGAGGGCTCTGCCCAAATCAGGACCTAAAATCTACAATCAGAGCAGAGTAACCCACTTCTCAGTGCTCAACAACTTGATCAGGCAGATTAAAGTAGAGAAAGTACAACACAAAGAATTGATTTGATTTAATAGTTGTGTACGGAATCCTACGTGAACAAATGAAAGATAAACAAAGATTGATCACATCCTGTGTCACGAAAGCCAGTCTCAAGGGGTACCAAAGAGGCCACTAATGCAGACTGTTTTCTGATAACGATTTAATAAAATTAAGATGAAACAAGAACACAACCTCATCACTACTCCCATCTCAAACCTGTATGTTTAGAAATGTTTTGTAACATTTATATTTTTTATATATTTATATTTGTGTATATCATAGGTAAGGAAAAATCCTGATAGAAGTCACAAAATATTTAGAATCAAATCAAAGCAAGATCTACATTATCAAAACTTGTGAAATGTAGCTAAAATGATACTTAGATGAAAATTTCAAGCCCAAAAGGTATACATTAGAAAGCAAGAATTAAAGTTAATGATCCATGTGTCCGTGTCAAGAAATTAGAAAATGACACTGAACCCAAATAGATCAGAAAGATGAAAATGATGTAGATGAGTGATGTATAGGCTGGCATTTGTGTTAGGTTATTTCATTATAAAGAAAAATCTGATGGCAAGACGTTAATATCTATATAATTTCAGTGTCTATTATAATATACTCTGTTTTTCTTTGCCTGAATTATGTTATTCAGAATTAATTTGTAAAAACTAGAGACCAGTAAAACAAACATTAATTTTGATTATTAAAAAATAAAAATTAGTGCCTGTAATATGAAACTTATGTTTTAGTGTCTTTCCAGTTGGGCTCCCAGGTGAAAAGACATGAGACTTTCTAAGCCTGTCTTAATAACGCTTGAGTGACGCCTCCTCTCGGCAGGCACACAGCCTCCTGCACCTCCATGCAGCTGCACAGGAGGGTGGACTAGAGAGAAGTCCCCCCAGGTACCTAGCATGGATTAACATGCAAATCAGACTATCCCAAATATAACAACAAATTCAGTGAGAACCTGCCCGGCTATTCTGCAAAATGCAGTCACAAGCAAGTAGAAACTTGATTTTTGTTCAAATAAGTAAGAGAGAGACAGCAGTTATTAGATATCATCAGTGATGTGACTTTGAAATAAAAATTCACCACTGATAACTTTTTCCAGCCTCTGGATTACTTTAGAGACTCTCCTGAGCTTGCAGAGCAGGTGTTGGGTGGTTACAGTGATAACTTCTGATCAGTATCAATCATGACTCTCTAATACTATGTCACTAAAATAAAATACAGTGATGACTGAAGCCCTGGGCTGACAAAGGATAAGACTGTCATTTGATTTCCAATTTTTGCTTCTCCCAATCAGGAGTGACGCCTGTTTTGTAATGAAGTTCTAAGGGAACACTGTTGTCTGGCTGCTTGCACACAAGGCAGAGTTGAGGAGTTAACGGCAGAGACCTTATGCCTCACAAAGTCTAAAATATGGACCACTTCTTGAACTTTTACAGAAAAAGTGAACAGATCCCTGCTCCAAGCTGACACATTGTTCTTTGACTGACTTGTGACTATTGTCATAAACACAAAGTTATAAAATGCATGGATAATAAAACATTAGTTTTTTTTTTTTTTTCTATTGGCACTCCTCACGGATTTTATCTTAAAAGCAAACAAACAAGGAAGGAATCTGTTGCTACTAAAACTTGAAAACTGCTGTGTTATGGTATCATCTCAGGGAGACGTGACTTGCAGTTAGCAGCAAGATGAAACTAATTCTGTATAAAATGCATGGATAATAAAACATTAGTTTTTTTTTTTTTCTATTGGCACTCCTCACGGATTTTATCTTAAAAGCAAACAAACAAGGAAGGAATCTGTTGCTACTAAAACTTGAAAACTGCTGTGTTATGGTATCATCTCAGGGAGACGTGACTTGCAGTTAGCAGCAAGATGAAACTAATTCTGTAGGTAAGACCTGTGAAAGTCAGTCAGTCTTCAGATCTTCAAGAACTGAAAATAACTGTCAGGTTGCTGGTATCGGGGGCATTTTTTTAAACTTAAAATTATCCTATTAGTATTTGTTTTTTGTGACAAAATATAACAAAAGCAGCCCTTCGATGAATTGCTTAGACATGCTTATTTTTAAAAGTGTACATACGCTGATTTCTTGACACAGTTGGTAGGATGTTGTTCCTGTCTGCCACGTATTAAGTATCACAATTTTTATACTTTCTAAAAGAAAATTAGCAACATTCCAGTGCCCACAGCCTTATTGCCCCTGACTGAGTTAATGAGAGTCCTGAGCGTTTTATTGGCCCTCCACAGCTCGATGCTTCCTGCAAAGTTCACAGGCCCAGGACATAATCTGCACTTCTTAATGCCCTTCAGTATCAGAAAACATTCATGGATTTCCTTTTTATCTTTGAAGGGTATTCCCTGAGTCCCTCCGGTGGCTGATGGCTACCCAGCAGTTTGAGTCTGCAAAGAAGCTAATCCTGCACTTCACACAGAAGAACTGTATGAACCCCCAGAGTGACATCAAAGGCGTGATGCCCGGTGAGTATAACCCTGTAGCCCTGCCAGCCTTGGGAGAGGCATCACCTGTCCTGAACCACAGAACAGTTCCCTGATGCTGGGATTGGTCTTGTTTTACCAAGCAGCTGCCCTAGATAGCTGTTTAACTTCCCGTGATGGTTGGTCTACAGCTAGACTAGGAACATGGGCAAATTGAAATTCTCTCCACCTTCTAGTTATTGGATCTTTCCTGATCAAGTCTAACACACTGTGGGGCTCCACATAGCCCATCCAAACCCAGAAGTGAGGCATGAGCCTAACATGCACCTGATTGTCAAGAGAATATTTGGAAGGGGTAGAAAAGCCTGTGTCTGGCACACAGCCCTGCCTTCCTGCCTGCCTGCCTGCCAGGTTTAAATGCCGGCAGTCCTGGCTGAGGGTGCCTCTGGCCTTCACTACCTCTCTTTTCCTAAGTATGACCTTCAGAGAGCCGCTATTGTCTATATCTGTCATGACCTCTTTGTGGGACAACTGAAGAAGTGGAAAAGAAGTATTCTAGTATATGGGTTCATATCCATAGAATTCATGTGTGTCAGGAGCATCATCGCAAGCTAGGTCAGGGCTTGCAGGCTACAGATGCATATCACCAGGAGGTTGTTAAAACCCAGACTCCTGGGCCCTCCCTGGCACCCAAAGATCCTGAGCCAGTAAATTTGGAATAAGCCCTAAGAATTGGCACTTTTAATAAGCACTGGAAGAAATTCTGACACATGAGGTGTACATACCTCCTTCTGAAAGCCCCTGTAGACCAGTCCCAAGCTCTAACCCACTGCCCCAACCTGAAGACCTGGTATTGATGGTACTGCTGTTACAAATTTCCCAGGAAAATCATCTGCAGGCCCTTGTCCCAGAGAGATATGCACATTCTCCCCCACCCCTCCATTACCCCCGTGATCTGAAATTTTATCCCACAGATATTTACTAAACTGCTGCCATGTGCCAGGCACTTTTCTAAAACAGAGAAGAAAACAGGCAAAGCCCTACTTTCATGGAGCTTACAGGCAAGTGGGGAAAGGCAAACAGTGAACAATTAAATGTATAATAGTCAGAAGGGATGAATTCTGTAAGAAAACTCCACAGAGCAGAGGGATAGAGGGTAGTAGTGTCCACAATCAGAGGGTTAGGGAGCCTGGCTCCAAGGTGACAGGTGAGAAGTCACCTGAACAGAGAAGGAGCATGTGCCCTGCAGATCTCCATTCTTGATGGAGAAGGAACACCTGAGAAATCTCACTCAGGGAAGTCAGAGCACGCCGGCCGGTAGCAGGGTGTCTGGACTCACCTATTCCATGGTTCCTAGACAAGCTGTTCTTTAGACTCCTGATTTGAGAGATCTGGAGCTCAGTATCAGTAGAAGTTACCTAGATGCTGCTCAGCCAGGACAACATCCCTGCCTTGGCCTGTGTTCATGACCTGGGAGGTGGGGACAGTAAGGGTAGGCCACCTGCACACGGGGGGCAGGCTTGGTCAGCCTGGCACAGCAGCACAGGTAGAAGAGTTCAGGAAGCCCAGAGCCCTTGCTTTACTGGAATAAAGAAGGACGTGAGTCAGGTTTGCTTAACGTGAAGAGCAATGAGTGCTGGTGCTTTGCAAAGGGGATCTGTAGTCTCTAAGTTTAGTGACAGTGACCATAAATAGGACATTTACAAAGTGCTTGTACGGCAGTCACTTTTCTAAATGACTTACAGATGTTAACTTATATCTAATATTTAATCTTAAGTACTTGGCATATATAATATTTCTTGACAACTTGAGTCCCATGAGGGAGGTACTATAATTATCTCTACTTGCAGATAAGGAAACTGTGGCACAGAGAGTTTAAGTGTCTTGCCAGAGGTCACACATCTAGTAAGTAGCTGAGCTGGGACCTGAACCCAGGAAGTCCAGCGGAAGCAGCTGATAGATGAGGGTGACAGAGATACTAATGTGATTGTATGGAGAAGAAGAATATTGAGTTAACCTTTCTTTTTGGGGGCCATGTTTGCTGATTTTGGAATGTCCAGCTGTCCCCCCCAAACTTCTCCAGGCTCCATTCATTAGGAGATTAATGCTCTTAAGTCTTTCAGTATAATTTGTTTCCGGCATTTCACTAATTAAATCACATGTTCCACTTATTTCAGGTTAAAATATTGTCTGGGAAAAGCTTGTTTTCTCAATCCAAATTATACTGATTCGTTTCCTTTCTATTTTGGGAAAGTGATATTAAATCTTTTTCCCCCTTTCTTTGTTTTTGAGTTTTGCTGATGTTTATTTCTATACCGGTGCCCCAGAAGGAGGCTGGGAGAGAGGGGGCTGGCACATATGACTTTACCCCCACTCAGGAGGGAAATCACAGCATCCACGCCTGGGGGCACTCATTTCACATCTGCCTCTGGATCCTGCTCACTGCCAACACACTAATGACAGCACCATGGCAAAAGCCAGCTGAGTGCTTAGGGGAAGGCAAGTCTCTGTTTCATCTAAATTGGCCACTTCCAACTTTCTTAGGCTGGACTCACTTTTCTGCTTGGAATCTTCTTTCTATCGCCTCAGCTAATCCATCTGCCACTGTCTTAGTCTCTTACTCTGCTTCTTACCTGCCTTGACTCCATCCTCGCTGCCACCTTTCCCCTCACATCACCACTTGCTCAAAAAAATTTTTGGTAGCCTTCCAGGGCCCGTAGGCTAGATCTCCAAGTCCTTCAAGCCACTCTGAGACCCTGTCTCACCTCTTTCTGCCTCTCACAGATGCTCTGGCTTTTGTTGGGCTCTCAGAATGCACCAGGCACCTCCTCTCTGCAGGGCCTTTCCACTTGAGTCCCCTATCCTTAGCCCCACTCTTGTTTGGCCAGCTCTTCAGGAACCAGGTTAGCCTGACTCCCCAGGCCTAAGCCAGCCCGCCAGTGGTACACCATCACAGCTGCAGGCACTTTGCCCTGTTGCCGGCATCCAGCTGTAAGGAATGGTTTGTGTGGCTCCTTAGAACCTGTTGCCCTGTGTCTACAGAGCTGGGTTCCACTGTTTCCCTTGCACTAGCAGAAGACCTGAGTCCTAGCAGGCGTTCCATGTATAGCTGTTGAACAAATGAATTGTGGTTTCCCGTGGTCAGGAAGAGTTAGGGCAATTTCTCATGGGACTCAGCCAGAGTTGCTGGTTATGCTGCCTCTGGATAGATGAGTGTTTTGGGTTTGCCTATAGGTATATGAGTGCGGTAGGAGGTGTGGGGGTGGGTTCCTGCCCCCGTCAGTACTTCCTAACTTTAGATTCAGGCTAGAAGAAAACTAAAATTTTCCATGCTCTTTTGTCTTTTAAAGACATCTTGGTCTATTATCGAACATGGCAGATTTTCTCAGTGGAGTTTGCAACCAAATTACTGTAGATATTTGGATGTGCTCCCGAGTATCATTCTTATAGTGTCATCCTATAACCATTAGTGTCACATGATGTGTCCAAGTACTGACCACTCTCCTTGTATCATAATTCCCAATGTTTTGAACATTTCCTGTAGGAGTAGAGTCCTGCTGGTTTCAAATGTGGCCATGTAGACTGCAACCCGCTGCACAGAGAAATCTTGGAGTAAGAGCCACACTCAACTGCGCTCCTATTGATAGTAACACTAGCAGACAGTCACTGGGCAGTGACCCCAGAAGGTGTGGGGTGAAACACTGCACATGCGATTGATCCTCATCAGAGCCTGAGGAGGATGATAGTCAGATCATCCTTGCTTTACATGTGAGGAAATGGGGCCCAGAGAGGCTAAGTGTTAGGAAGCTCTGCTTCCCCACTTCCCACATTCCCTCACGTGAAAGGAGCCAGCCTTGAGGAGTGAAAGTGAACTCGCTCCCCTCTTTTTCTCCTTGGGAGTGAGCCACATGCAGAGAGTGGAGTCCTGTGTCCTCGCCCATCAGGCCCTCTCTGGCAAGCACCCAGGAGAAGCCATCCTACCCCACCCACGCCAGGATGGGCAGGTGAATCTGTAAGATGCAAGTGTCCCAACCTCAGGCCCTTCTCAGTGATTAAGCATGGATTCTGCCCTCACCTGCCTCAGTCTTTGTCTTATTGATCTGTTTGGAACCTGAGGTGAGAAGAGGGTCCATGTATCAGGCCACCTCAGGTCCCCAGCATTAGGTAAGTTGTCCAGTCACATCACTAGCAACTGATGCAACTAAGGTCGCCCCCAGTGCCCCATGTCTAACTACTGTGGCATGCAACTTGTTCTCCTGCCTGGGTGGGAGGCTTCACCGGCTGGAGCCATGTGCACTAAGAGGGAGTTACAGAGGCTTGCAGTGCTGGGTCCCTTGTGGGAGATTTGGTTATTTTTAGAATGGGCTGACTGAGGTGATGTTACGGTAAAATCCCTCAAGGTGCTGTCCTCTGCTGCTTGCTTCTGAAGCACACTTATTCGATTGGCCAAGTGCCACTGCTTCTCTTCCTTTGACTGGCCAAGTGCCACTGCTGCTCTTCCTTCTGATCTCTTTCCTTTTTAACTCCTCTTCCCCCGCTTCTTTTTGATCTTTTCTCGTTTTCATTTCTATAACTGATGTTTTTCCAGTTTCTCCAGGAATGCATTTGCAGTGTACGCAAGCAAAGCCATTCTATCTCACAACCCCATTTAAGGGACTGCGAGTGCCCCCTAGGTATGCATTTTCCCTGCATCTCCGAGGCTGGCCTTGAGTGGTCTGCCACTGTCTTCTCCCACTGCTGTTTCAGGAAGCATAATTAGGCCCCTCCCCTGGATCTCTAAACCACGGAGAGGTCATGACATTTCCAGTCTGTCTGCAGGGACACCTTCCCTTCTGCAGTCACTATTGAGAAGCTGGGACAGTCTGGGTCAACTGGGGCACTGAGGGCCGTGCAGAGCCCCCTTTATTTGGTATTCATAACAGTACTCCAAGATGGGGGCATTGTTCCCCTTAACAGATAAGAAACTGAGGCACAGAGCAACTAACTTGCCAAAGGACCTCAACAAAAAGGTTAAAAGCTGGGTCTCTGCCGGGGCTCAGACCCCTTGCTGTGCCCCAGGTTGGGAAAAGAGACCCCACCCAGCCATACCAGTGCCCTGCGGTCATACAACACAATGATCAGCTGAAATACAAAGGTGCAGGGGCAGAAAAGGGCTGCAGGATGAGGTAGGAGGTGCCTGGCTTGTCAATGGTAAATAGGCTCTGTTTATTTTCTGTTTTGAAATTTTTCCGATGGCTCTAAATCAAGAGGGTTGAAGAGTTAGGGAGAGGAAATGCTTTCACAGTTGTTTCCTTGGTGGTCAACTCTCAATGCCCCCTTTTACTCCTATTATTTTCATGTGTAAGGACTTTGGAAAGTCCCTGAGATATCTATCTGATAACCAGAGAGATGGAAAGGCCTTTTCCATCACCTATCCAGTTACCATAGGAGGTCTCAAGTCATCTAGTGTTTCCTATAACTCAGAGCTGGTGGATTTTTGCCCAGAAGAACAGACCTAGTGCTGAACAAGTTTTATGTTGTTTATAGGCTGGTGATGTGTGTAACAGAGAGAAAATATCAGTATCTCCAGACGGGTTAATTTAATTCCGTTTAGAATAATGTAGTTACCTCTGTAGGCTGCAGTCAATTCTTTAGACTTGGGCTCTAGAATTTAGTGCTGTGAAGAAAAAAAACTAACTCATCATGATTACAGTTGCTACAACTTCTTTATCAACATCTATTTTATATACAATAATGTGTTAGAGTTAAGTTTGGGCCACATTACCAAAAAACAACCTTTAAACTTATGTAAATATGCTAATGGAAATTTAGATTTTCTTCTTGTAAGATTTCCATAGTGAGCAAGTGTAGCTATTATAGTTGATTCCTGATGAGTTTTACAAAAGCAAAGCGCTCATATCATTGGATCCAGCATTTCCTGTTAACAATAATATCTCCGTGTGCTTTAAAAGTTTTTTAGGTATTTAATGATGGGGAAAGAAAGTCTGTAAATCAAATTAGACTGTTGTTACAGGGGAGAACATGAAGGTCAGGAAGACCTCAGGAGAAGGTCTGTGGACAGCCAGCCAAAATATCAGCCCTCTGGCTTGTGCACAGACCTCAGTCTTTGTACCTTAATATGGAAAGGAAGAAAGTTCTGGAAACTCAAGTGGCATAGTATCCCTCAGATATAGGAAAGGTTTTTCCTTCTCCCTTCTATGTCCCAGCTGGTGACACTGATCTAAAAAAAAAATTTTGTTTTTAATTAAAAAAACTCCTAAACCCTTATGGTTAAGCAACATCTTTTCCTTCAAACTGTAACTAATGAGGTTTGTGACCCTCCTGCCACTGGATGGCAGAAAGGAGGTAGAAGAGGAAAGAAGTAAGGCAAGGGCAGGTGGTGTCACTTCAGAGACACAGTCCTCTGAGGGAGCTGCTGCTCCTGGGCCCCTCCTGAGACAGTCATATTTCCTCCCAGCAATAAAGCTTCCCCAGTTACTGGGGCCTTTCCACTTCCACTGCTGTTTTTTACTTTTAGTAAACTTATTTTGGAATAATTCTAGGTTTATAGAAAAGTTGCAAAGGTAGTGCAGAATTTCTGAATACCCCTGACAAGTCTCCCCTCTCACTGACATCTGATTTAACTATGGTATAGTTGTCACAACTGAGAAACTGACATTGGCACGCTACTGCTAACCAGACTCTTCCCTTTATCTGGATGCCACTATTCTTTCCATGAATGACTTCTCCCTGCTCCAGGATACCATCCAGGATGGCATTTAGTCATCCCATCTCCCCAGTCCTCTCTGATCAGTTCCTCAGTCTTTCCTTGTTTTCATGGTCTTGACGGTCTTGAGGAGCACTGGCCACCCACCCGATAGGTTCAATCTCCTTTTTTTTTTTTAGCTCCAGGGTAGGGAATTATTCTCCAAGGATAAGCCTGGCTAGGAGAACAGGGAGGGGCCTGGGAGGCTAAACATGTGGGTTTTCTGCTCAGTCTCATATGGAGACCTTGGAGGGGCAGGCATTGCCTTGTATGAACTTCCTTGTTAAATTGCTAAGTCAACACCAGGACTTTAGCAAACTCATTAACCCTGTTAAGGTGGCAATGGAGCACCATCAGAGTTTGTTCAGAATGGCTTTTGGAGCTAGTTCGAGCCTCACAAGAAACTCTCATAACTTTGGAGTTGGTCACAACACTTTGAGCCAAAACATTGTCTATCTTGTCTGGCTCTCAAAGACTTTTGACCATTAACTAAAACATACACATATACCCATGTGTATATATACATATATAAGCACACGTGTTCCTCCATTTATTTATCTCTCTTTTGAAGATATGTGCACTCAAGGGACAGTTACAGAAAAAGTAGCTACAGCTATCGTACGTTCTGCCCACAGAGTTAAGGAGCATATCGGCGTGTGCTTTGTGTGCTTTTCCCGGCCTCTGAGCAGTGGGTGACTGAGATAGATCAGACTCTATAAGGAAACAAACCACGTTTCTGATGTGCATGGAGCCTAATTAGTGCTCAGGAACCTAGAACATCATCATTTAGTTCTGTACTCAGCCAGAGTGGAATGATCATTTGTGTGCCTTGCCTGGTTCCCAGGAAAGGCTTTGCAGTGGGGAGGCACTGTATACTGACAGTGTGCCATGGCTCCCTTCAGACCCGTGGAGAAATTTGAACTGCAAAGTTAGAGTCTGTGCGAGCCCATTTTCTGTCCTGAAAGCCAGGTCCTTTCCCTGGCTTAAGGGAAAAGAGAAAGTTCTCTCGTCATGATGCCCGAATTAAGGAAATGGGGCTGCCTTTGAGGCTGCCTATCCAGGGTCTTGCTGAGAGGTGACGGGTTCTCTTTCTCTGCAGAGCTGGAGAAGGAGCTTTCCCGGAGGCCCAAGAAGGTCTGTATCGTGAAAGTGGTGGGAACGCGGAACCTGTGGAAGAACATCGTGGTCTTGTGTGTGAACTCGTGAGTCACCAGAGGGACACATCTGTGGCTGAGGTCAGGGAGGGGCCGGAAAGGACAGCTGCCAGAGGAGAGGCCACAGAGCCCTCCTCTTCCCCAGCGGGACTTTGAATCATGGCTGCGCTGGGCCCTCTGGCCTGCCTAGTGCTCCACTCTTTGCTAAGGGGCCCTGGGTAAGCCTGATAGGCCTGTCAGGGCTTCCTAACTGGTGGTCTGAAGGTTACAAGTACTGAAAGATATGGACCCCACTCCCAACCTCAGGGTAGCTAGGGCCCCAGCCAGCTACCCCCAGCCCAGCAGGCCAGGCATCTTACTGTGCATGCTGCACAGGCGGGGAGCCCTGAGCTAGTCCCATAGACATGCATCCTTAGGACTGTCAGAGAGCAGGTTCACATCCATGGAACTCCGTCTCACTCTTTGCCTTGCAGTGATTGTACTTCCTTCAGAGGCACAGTGAGGAAGAGACTCCATGATGGAATTTCCAGATACTGGCACAGGAGAGGGCATTTGAGACCATTGGGGCCCTGGCTGTCTCCTCAGCCCAGGCTGCTCAGTGGCCTTGCTCCCACTTGGAGCCAGCGTCTGCAGCCCAGCCCTGGTCAGAGGCCCATACCCCAAGGCAGCCACAGGTTGTAGTGGGCCAGCCTAAAAACCCAGTGTGAACCCCAGTTGTGCACCAAGAGGCATATGTCCACATCCAGCCCTACTGCCATGGTTTCGGACCCTGTATCCCCCAGTCACTCACGCAGTGTCCTGACAGCCCCTGTCCCAGGTTCAGTACCTAGGTCTTTCCTATTGAATCACACAATAGGAATCCCTGAATCCCTGTCCTTTCCTGATCACACAAGGTAGGCCCTCATTCAGGGTCAGAGGTCATCTGGGGGGTTAACTCTCCTATAGGGCTAGAGGTCATCTAGGCAAGGGGAGTAAGTTACTCATTTGGGGTTAGAGGTCATAGGGGATTGAGGTTTACACTCATGAAAGGTCTCAGGACTGCTGACAAGTGAAGAAAGAAGCCTAGGGTCGAGTCTGGTCCCACCATTCCTCACAGCTGTTTCTACCAAAGCAGCACCATTTAATCAGTTCTCGATATTGGAGTTCCAGATTAAATTTTGGGGAAGATACAAAAGGTTCTACTAACAAAGTGACAGGAGAGCTCAGCTTTAACTTAACACCTTTGTCCTACAGGTGAAGAAACCAAAGCCCAGGCAAGGGAATGACCAGCCACGTCCACACAGTTGGTCAGGGCCTGAGATTTCAGGCCTTAGCCTCCTGGCCCAGAGTTGGCTACAGGCACAGCTGCCACACAACTGTACCATCTTGGGCAAACACTGGCTAGGCCAATGGGACTGTTAAGAATGGAGTGACTTTTCCAAGTTTTATTTTGGAAAAAACACAATGTAACAAAGACGAGATGGCAAGTTTCCATTTTAGTGACTCCTGTTGGGGCAGGGGGATCCATTTTGTCATCTTAAAATTTTTTTGTGGTTAGAGGATTTCCTTTTTACCAGAACAAAAAGATGGAAGATTTCCCCGAGACCTCAGTAGGCCAGGAAGAGACAGTCATCGGGGATCCCAGGAGACTAACTGACTCTCATCAATTGCTAGATTATGAAAGGATAGCACATGGGAGCTGGGTCCTCTGCTGAATATATCCCAAGTAAAAATGCATTTTTTTGGCAAAGGGAAGCTTCCTGCCGTGGGAGATGGCAGTCTGTTGAGTTGACCTCAACACATTCTCAAGGTTAGATGAAAATACACAAGGGTGGTTGAGAGAGAAGGGAAGTTTTAGCTCTAGATGGACTCTGAGCCCTGACATAACGAATGGGTTCACACACGGCCACGTCCCAAAAGGCCCTTCTGAGCCCTGGAAAGAGCCCACATGGTATGCGTCGTCATGGCTCAGCCTCCCTGAGTGTGCACGGACACGTATTTATTCCTCTTTCCCAATGTAGACATCTGTCTGTAACAATTAGGACACACGTTTTCCAGCAGGTTTCTATGATCCTGTCGGGCAGTAATGAGGCTCAACCAGGGGCAGTGGAGGAAAACGGCAGTAAATTGAGAATTGAAACCAAGTCTCCACTGTTTGGCCAGACTTCCTACTGGCTTCTTCAGGGTGCCTTTGTCAAGTAGCAACAGGAAAGGGTTGAGTAAGTAGTTCTCGACTTGGATGGATCCCCAAGTTTCCAGAACCCTGAGTGCCAAGGAAGAGGTGGAGACACAGATAGGTAGTGTGTCTTGGAAGATGTCACTTGCCAGCTGAGTAACTTTATGCAAGCCATTTAACTTCCCTAAGCCTGTCTGCCCATCTGTGAAGTGGGTCTGACAATAGCTCTTATGGTATCAATGTGGGATTAAATGAGTTTACACATGGTGTGTCTCCCACAGGTTGACAGGGTACGGAATCCACCACTGCTTCGCAAGGAGCATGATGGGCCACGAGGTTAAGGTGCCACCCCTCGAGAACTTCTACGCTGACTATTACACCATGGCCAGCATCGCCCTGGCATCCTGCCTGGCCATGTGCGTGGTGGTCAGGTTCCTGGGGCGCAGGGGAGGGCTGCTGTTCTTCATGATCCTCACTGCCCTGGCCTCGCTCCTGCAGCTCGGGCTCCTCAACCGTGAGTGTGGGGGAAGGTCTGTAGAGGGGCCTGGTGGAGGGGGCTGGCATACAACAAAGGGTATTGGAAAGGGCTGGGTGAGACTTGAGACCAGTTTTCAGTTAGCTGTTATTCCAAAATCAACAGCTTGAAGAGAGCAGTTTGGGGAAGGAGAGCTGTAATTGGAATGTGCACGGTGACTGCCTTTCCTCCCCGTCCCCCACCCCAACCCTGGAGCTCCAACTCAGAGCCTTCCTGGTTGCAGTGACTCTGGGCATGCAAGGCCCTCAGGGTCCTGGTGGATGTGGCTTCACTAATAGCCGGACTATCTCTTTGTGATACATCACATGACAGAGAAGAACAGAGGATTTGTTTCTTTCCTGTGATATTAAAGGGGAAATAAATAAATTTTGACGCTCTTGCATTGGGACACTGCTTTATCTTAAACGTTCCCAAGCTCATCAGCTTGTCTTTGGGGCAAAGGATTTCTCAATAAATGTTTAAAATAATTTAAAGAAAAGCTAAGGAATCCAAGTAGCCCCTCCAGCTATAATAGGCAAGATCAGGACAGTTCCTCGTGCACAAACACCCACCTCCGTGCATGGAAAAAGCAGCAGGCATTTCTCTGACCTGCCCACAGCGAGACATGAGTGAGCAGGGCAGCTGAGCCCTCTTCTCACCCAGGTACGATCCTCCTGGGACAGGCTCGGACACTGCGGGGACACAGATGCCACTTATCAGTCCCTCCTGCACAAGGAGAGCTAACCTAAGCTTTGGGGATTGGGCTTGGTGACCGTCCAGTTGCACCTAGATCAGAGGCACTGAAAAAACAAAAAGCCTTCTAGTATTTCAGGTTTGCATGCTGTGTCTGAGGTACAAGTCAGCATCCTACAGAAGTAAGAGAAAGAAAAGACTCATAACTTTCTCAGCCTTATTGTACAAACTGGATTATAGAGTGACTGGTTTCAGCCCCAGGAGCCATGTTTCTAACTTGGGCAAGTTCTTGTGTATTCTGCATCTTGCTGGGAGACTGGTCTTCGTTTCGGCTGTGACTGACAAGGAAACGGATAAAGTGGTGACTTTCCCCGATACATGGTGACTCTCTCCTGACCATCCCCAGTGGGGCCTCTCTGAGCTCACACAGTTCGAGTGGACGTGCAGCGGGGCAGCAGCCCCTGGGACTGTCACAGTGCTCTTTGTCCCTGAGTAGGAATGCCACGGGAACTTTATGCAAAGGACAAGTAGATGTGAGGATCAGAGCTCAAGAGCACAAGAAATGCCACCTGGCAGGTCTGCCCCCGCAGCACTTAATGCTCCCTTGAGCACAAATGAGCAGTGAATAATTTTATACACAATGAAATTAACCCTTTGGCTTGAGGTCGGGAGGTGTGCTAGACTCTGTTCTGAAGAGGTCAGTTTTCTCCCCAGGATCTGAGACCAGTGGGAGATAGCCTGCCTTTCAGAACAAAATGCACTTTGAGTCAATTGCTAATGCCAGTGCCCAGGAGTGCCCCCATAAGTCTTTTCCGTCTCTCTCGCACTCTGGTCCCAAACCTGGAAGGAATTCTCTGAAAAGCAATCACACGGAAACACACAGTAGTCTCTTCATACATAACATGCTTTCTTTGTCCCTTTTTTCCCCACTTTCTTCGTCTTCTTCCGTATGGATGCCGTCATCTCTGTGGTCCAGTGATTGGAAAATACAGCCAGCATCCAGACTCAGGTGAGCCCCAGATGCTCATGCCGTGCGTGTCGTCTTCTTTGTATTGCATCCAAACGGGCATTTTCATAAACACTCACGGATCTGTGGTTTCCCTCTCCTCTCTTTCTCTTCCTCCCCCTTACTCTCCAAGAGTTGCAGCTGAAGTTGGCCGTAGGTTGGACACTATAAGCATACATTTGTGTTCTTTACCCCCTCTTGCCTCTAGAAAGAGTGGCTCGTTCCCCCGTTTGCACTCAGCTTTTATGCATGCCCTCACCTCTTCCCCTGGCACCGGCAGTCAGCATGGGCCCTTGGCTGCTGCCCACAGTGAGCAGTTTGTCTATGGACAGTGCCTGAACGGGATCAGAAAGCCCAGGAGTGTTGGAGGCCTAACTGACCGTGCTGCCAGGGAAAGCTGCTGTCCCCCCTTGCGAATCACACAAGCTCGCTGCTCTCCGCCGTTGGGACAGCAGAGTCACTGCTGTGCACTTCAGTGCTGCTGGTCATATATGCCTGGCCTGATCCTAGCCTATGCCACCAAGGCCCTCCACAGTGAGAGCCCTGAGGTTCTGGTGCAGCCTTGCAGGGACCTTAACTGTGCTCCAAATGTATGACCCCCCCGCCCCTGACCGCATGCTGTTGCTCCACGCTAGACACCACCGTGGCGTGAGGTCAGACTCTTGTGCCATTTGCAAGATGCTTGGGTTGGTAGAGCCCTTTACCTCCAGGCCCGTAAATTCTCCTATTTGGGTTATTTGAGTTTTTGTTCCCTTAATTCAAGCCTAAGATACCGTGTCCTATGTATTGGACTGGGAAAACCTGAGGCCCAAATGGCCAGGGCTCTCTGGAGTGCTGAGGCCTTCCTCTGAAGCCAACATGGAAGGCTGGGGCAGGAGACCACCAGCCACTTTTCTTGCCTGGCTGGCTCTTGGCCTACGGAGTTCTGGGAGAGTCAGCATGTGCTCCAGCATTCTAGACCCACAAAGGACTCACAGGAACCCAGGCAAATTCTTCTGCCAAGAGGGTCTGGCCTCCTAGGCCTGGAGGTGCTCCTCCATCTCCAGAGGGAACTGAGCACCCTAGTCTGCACCTCACGCTGGAGAGTGGGGAAGAGGTGAGACCCTTTGCAGGTCCCAGGCCTCCCTCCTCCCCTCTCCCCCTGCTCTCTCTTCCCTGGCCTTACCAGCTTCCTTTTCCCTTCCCTCTGCCCACCCTTCACCATCCCCTTCTCATTCTCCTTCAGGTATGAGTGACAGTGTCAAGGACAAATTCTCCATCACGTTTTCCATCGTGGGCATGTTTGCCTCCCATGCAGTAGGAAGCCTCAGTGTATTCTTCTGTGCAGAGATCACACCCACGGTAATAAGGTGCGTAATGGGAGACACCCCACAGGATGTGTTCTTAGGATCCAGGAAGGGCTGCCTGTTTAGCAAGGCTCCCGGGGAATTAACCAACATCAGCGTTGTCCTGCCCTGGCCTCTGGACAGGGATGATGCATGCACTGAGCATGTGAACTTTAAGACAGGGTGCTCCACCCTGACCCCGAGGCAACTGAGAGTCAGGTGAGAACTTGACTCTGCATTCTATCCAGGCAGGAGTCAGAGGAATGGAGCACAGGGAACTTTCTGGCGTACAGGAAACACGGCAATGACTGGAAAAAGAGAGAAGTCAGTAGATAACTTGTACCCATACTTCAACTGAAATCAAATACTGTCAACTCTTCTAAGAGACTTCAAAATAAAGTGAAGTAGGAAGGGCCTTATTTTTTTTTTT